TCAGCAGTCACACTTTTTAAAAATAATTTAATTATTTACTTGACCACAGCCTTCTTATTCATTATTTTACCACAGCTCTGCTCTTTTTATCTATTTTCTCGTAGCCTCGTGAGCAGGATGCAGGTTAATGATGATATAACTAGATAAGTCACCATTAAACATTCAGCTGTTGTGGTACAGTGGTTAGTACGTTAGATTATGATGCGACCAACTTGGGTTCGGTCCTTGTCTGAGTAACAGTTTTTTTTTTTTCATTTTTATTGTTAAGACATAATACTGTAAGGGTTGTTGAACATTTGAAGTTCTAAAAGAGCTGTTTTCTCAAAAGAAGACGTGATCGTGTAATTAGAAACTGAATTGGAAATAACCTTATTTTAATATAGTCAGTGGTGAACTGAGGTGGGCCGGTCTGAGGCTTGAAACTTCAGGGCTGAAAAAGAGTCCCACTCCGGCCCTGCTGGTGGATTTGTGAAAACTGCAAAAAAAGTACATATTTAAGTACATATTTAAGTAAAAGACATATTTTGTGATCTCCAATGTATATAGGGGTACATATCAATTATAAGCCTGGCTTGGTTTTTACATTACATGCATTTATTACATTGTGAGTTGCTGCACACTGCATTCATGCATAAAAGTTCCACATTAGATTTGATATTCTTGCTGTTTGTATCAACAAGAATCTGATGAAACTTTACATATGATGATGCATGAGTTGCAATACGATATATTGGGATACACTGTGATATTTCAATTTATAATTTCATGAAAATCTTCATTAACACATCATATCTGAGCCATGGAAGAAAACACATTTATTTAATTAGACCCTTTAACATTGGATGCCATTTAACTATGCTTTTTGCTTTATGGGTAAAACTGAAAATGTACTTGGGGTAAATTTTTTACAAATAAGATGGTATAAACAGACCATATTTACTGTAATAGCTTGTTTACAACTGTAAATGTCACAACTTGTGCGTAGATTTTTCTGACTATCAATGAAAACTTAATGAAAAACGTTTGCAGGATTCTTCAATTAAATTAAATGTATAAAATATAAGCTGTTATAAACAGACATAGTTTTGACTATAAGGATGGCCTAATGACCCGGGGTAAGCATGAGAGATGGTCAAGATAGTAGACAGGATTGTTAGTGGCTGGATCGGGACAGGCTGTACCTCAGTGACAACACGCATATCGACGTCATGCAGTGGTGGAAAGAGTACTAAAAAATTAAGTAAAAGTACCATTATTTGTCTAAAAATGTAGTGCGAGTAGATTTAAAGTATCTGTTGTAAATATTACTCAGAGTAAAAAGTAGTCCTTTCAAAAGTACTCGAGTAGTGAGTATCACGCTGTAAAAAGCTGATTATATGTAAATACATGTAATTTGTGGATGTGTGTAAACGTAACATTCTGTAGTTCAATTTAATTTAGTTATTGCCCAGCAGGAACACAATGCCATAAGATGTTAATATTTGATTAGATTTAGGTTGTGAGGTTGACCAAATTTCAATGTCTTGCTAGCATCTAAGGATAATCTTTTTTTGATGTCCAATAACAACATTAAATGATATTGATATTTGGCTGATTTTAGGTTGTGTTGGAAAGTGACCAAAATCCAACTTCGAGCCAGCATTTAAAACCAACGTCATATTGAAGTCAAGTTCTGACATTTGTTTGTCAGGTATGGCAACCAAAATCCAACATCTGAAAGACGTCATATTGGTAACATCCACACAACATCAAGCTGTAACATTAGATGCTGGTTTTTGGTTAGATTTAGGTAGGATGTTGGACATTGACATCAGCTTGACATTGTGTTCTGATGTCAACTCGATTTTAATTTCCAAACAAACTGCAGCTACACCACAATTTTGACATAGTTGGGGTACAACGTCAATCTGACATCATGTTGAAGTCTTGTGCCTGCTTGTGCTTTTTTTTATATATATATACTTTACTATGAAATTGATTTTAAATTTCATTCTGTGTGGTATTAAAAAAACTTAAATATAACTCTAAGAAACCTGCAGATATGCTGTGCCTGTAACCATTTGACATTATGTCCAAATGCGATCTTACAAGTGAAAAACAGCCTGACTGACAAAAAATACTTCTTACGAGCAAAAGGAATTTAGGCTAATAATAGATTTTAAATTAAACAACCATTGTAAATTGTATAATTTTTTAAATATTGACATTGCATTTTTGGGAATGGATACAGTATTGACAAACAAAATAACTCCAAACTTAAAGATAATATATTCTTACACCCCTATTTGAGATCTCTGAAAATCCTTTCTAATATTGTCAATGTGTGCATATTATTAATGAAATATGGATGTACTTTGTTCACTTGCCACTATCATGTGATCTAGCTCAAAAACTCTTTACTGTGGTAACTGACTGGTACTACAAATGCACATTAAACATTTGCCAGTATCGAACAGAAATTTGTTAAAGCTAAATATTCTATTGTAAGCTTTACATTTAATTAAACATTAGTTAATTGTTACAGCTCAGAGCATGTTTTGTGTCTAATTGTGTAGTTTTGTATCCAGTAGCTTTGTTTTATGTGGAAAAATGTACATCCAGCTGGGTGTTTTTATCAAATTTATTTAACAGCTGCTGAGAACAACTTGCTGGATGTGCAATACCCCTGCTTTTATACCTAAACAAGAGTCTATTTTAAGGGATAGTAGTGACCCCAGGCAACTGTATTTTAAGAATAACACATAATAACCAATAATCATTTAAGCCTCACTAAGGATTTTTTTTATAAAGAGGTTTTCTATGTGGTGGTAAAGTATGTTGTGGAAAGTGTTAAACATAGCATCTTCAGGATTTAACACTGTTGACGTGCTTTGATTTCCTCTCTCTCAGCTGTTACAGCGTCTTTGTTTATTCACTAGAGGAAGGAGAGTATCAGTTTGTCAAGAGTGGATCTGGTATTTCCAGAAACTCTTGCTTAGCCAAAGCATTTGTCACAAGGAAGCCCTCAAGAGGAATTCTCTTCAATTGTCATTTTCCTCCTCACAATTCATAACCAAAAGCATGTATGATAGATTTTTGTTTTGCTTTGTAAATTCCATTGAACAAAACACATATTTCCTGGGCTATAAGGTGACATTCCATTCATTTCTATAGATTTTATACAGTTTCAAACGCTATAATCAAACAGTATCTCACACCCTAAAATATAAATGTATTTATGTTGCTTTTACATATTTATTTGACAACAAAACATTTGTTATATTTTACATATATTTTACACGATACAACCTTGTCAAAACAATTTATTCAAAAAAAAAAAAAAACAACAATAGCATAATATTTTTTGCAGTCAATAATTACCCAAATCATTTTATTTTGTATACTTTAATATGAAAGATATTTTAGTTTTTTGCGATGCAGTTTGTTGTCGTTTTGGTGCTAAAGTTGCACATAAAGACAAAAGAAAGAAAAAAAGACACTTTTTTTTTTTTTTTTTTTAATCAGTGGTGACATTCAATCACATATTACCCTCTCCAGAAAATACTGCATAAATCATGAGAATAAACGTTTGGCCAAGTGGGAAGATTCATGAGTAATTTAACACTGCTCATCTTCACCACCTGTATTAGCAGCTGCTCTCTCATTTCCATTAGACAATTTCATAACCTAGAACACACACACAAAATCTGGTGTCTTTTATCTGTTGTACTTTTATCTAAATAACATGCTTTTCATATATTAGGGAAACTATTATCTAACAAAAATATCTTTGGACTTTTGAATGTAATATATTTAAATATTTACATGTTTTTGAAATAAGTCTCACACCATCTTACAGAGGTGAATGTGAATTTGTTAATTTGTGAATTTGTTCATAATTTGATTAACTAACATGTAGATGGTCTTTATTCACATGAATTGATTTGACTCATGCTATAGTTGTTTTTTGATTTGTACACAAATCATCAGCTTATGTAAAGTACTAATTTTGGTAATATTACCTGATTCTTTTTGTATCATAATTTGACATGTGCATGAATGTGGAACATAAAGCTAACCCTAAATAAAATATAATCCTGACAAATATGATTTACTCCTTTATTGTTATTTTTTAATCTTCCCAAATCCGTATTATGGATTATATGGAACAAAATTGGTCTTATATAATGCAATGTTAAATAAAATTAAATTCCTTGCACAGACAAATAAAAATGCATTGCTTTGATTTACATATTGACCATTTATTTACATATTAGATATTTTAGCTAAATGATATTGGAGTGCTCAGATTGACTTTAGAAAGTGAATCATTTATTTATTTATTTATATTAAATCAATTTGAGTTTTACTTGAGAATTTACTTACCTTTAGACCATGAATATTTTTTTTCTTCTCTAGAAAATTACAGAAGAATTTTTACTGAATCTATCTTCCTTGGTGATTTGTATAATGGCAATCAATGGCCACCCATTTTTGAGATTAAAAATTAACAAGTCCAACCAAGTCTGAATCAGTCCCAGTGTATCCTGACTATACGGTTTTATGAAGCAACACAATCAGTTTGTGCAATATACATTAGGCCTATATAAAATATTAGCTTTAATCCTTGGTCCAGGCAAAATGTGTTTCAGCAAAATGAACGTTGTAAAAATTAATTTCCCCTTGACGTTAATATAAAAAACGGGTGACCTTTGACTTGCAATATATGAATCACAAATGACTATAGGTTAAGCTAAATTCGTCTTTAATGATCCACTGAAGATTAGAAAAACACCTCTCCAGTGCCCTGAGGGTGACTAAATTAACTGTAAATAATCATTTTTGGAACAGCCCATTTTGGGGCGAACTATTGCTTTAAGAGCACATTTCTGTACAGAGACAATTGATAAATCGGCGCATTCAGGGTGTCAGGGATTTGTTTTCTCAATGTGGCCTGCCAGTGTCAGGCTCGTATGTCTCTTTTCGGTGCATAAAGGGTTAAACCAGGCGGTGAATGTGCAGCTCGATTCTCCTCCCTCCATCAGCCTCCTCTCTCGCTCCACTCACTGGCCTTTAACAAGGGTTCTGTTGCGGGACTCTTTTCGGAATATGTATCAATAACCCCCAACCGGATAGGCCTGCTCAAAGCGAAACAACAGAAACACACTTGCCAAACTTTGAGGTGAACGTCCGGTGTTTTTGAAGCAGAATTTTAAAACTATCCACACTGAAAACATGCGGAGATGTCGAGAGGAGTACAATTGCCAATAGGATCCCAAAGTTGGGACTTTTATGTCAGGGAATGAGAGGTAAGGACACAAAGGACTTTGGTTCTCGAGGGTCAGTGTAAGATTTCCAAATGTTATTCTCTTATTCAGCTGAGTCACGCAAGCAAATTTCAGTATTCTGCTATCGTGCCGCAATACCGCATTATGAAGACGCAGAAGACGTTAAAGGGCTTTTTATTCTTGTTTCGCTATTTCGAAAGGCATAAATAGATGATTTTTATGGGGCTGATTTGCTATTTCAGTAGATTAAAATCTGCATTGAAATCTGCAGTTTGAGAGGGGTGTGAATTGCTGGAGAGCTGGTTCTCCACCCGGACTGACTGAAAGTTGTTTTGTGGTTGTTGTGAAATAGACTGCTAAATAAGCTTGTTTTAGGGAAAACACAGGATTTGGCTTATAAGCCTAGTTTTTTATATTTTATTCTAAAATCTAACGTCAATTTTGAACACGTTTAGATTGAGGCAAAATTTAGTTTATTATTAATTTCACATAACAACTTTTAATGTAGAAATGATCTAGGTTATTCAGCAAAACAGATTTTTTCTTAAGTAGAATATTTCTTTGTATTGTACCATCTGAATGTATTGTTTTATCTGAAATAAAATTATGAGACCTTTATTGACAAATTTTTGTACAAATAAATAATAAATTTTTAATCACATTTTCATTATACAAAACTATAAATAATCATAAGACTGGCTGGCGATTTAAACAACAACAACAACAACAACAACAATAATAATAACAATAATAATAATAATAAATAAATAAACAAATAAATAAAAGTGCGTAGCTAAAATGAGTTATTTGCTTGTCATGACAGAATCTACTTCCTGAATTCTGATTACTGTAGGTCACTGTGACAAACTATTTCCAATTGATGTATTTTAAAGACTGTCATACATTTAATGCATACAGTGAAAATAACAATTGCAATTCACATTTAGACCAAGAATCAATTGAAAATACATTAAAAAGTCCCTACCTAGGTTCACTGTACAGCCTCAAAACATATTTATTGTCATTTTTAAAACTAAAGGCAGGAAAGACCGTGATGGTGGACTGGAGAACAAAACATGTTTCACATTGTCCACAGGCTAAGATTTGCGCTGCTGGCACTTTTGGGATCAGCACAAGTGACCAAAGGTTTGCCTATAGCAGCAGAGCAATGTATATTGACCCTCTGGAGCTCCTTAATAAACAGTTTTTGTGGAAACAGGGAGAGTTGAATTGCACATTTAATTCTGCAGTGAGTTAGGCAGCTCTGGTTTTGTGTCTTTTGGATACAATCTGGGTTTTTTGAATGCACAGTTACTCCTGTTGGATGTGGTTCATCGCCCTTGGTGGTATACTGACATTACCCTGGATACCATAGCTCTTGAAACATCACTGAGACTTGCTGTCCTTTGTCAGAGATACGCCAGTGAGATGCACACCACCAATTAGTCAACTAAAACTGTGCTATAATTTGCTAATTAAATCTTCAAACTGCTCTAACTAATGAGAGATCTAACTAATAACAGAACAAACCATCGTTATACAATAACTTGCCTAATTAATAATTGAAATGTCTTGAAAAATATCTAGTCAAATATTATGTACTGTCACAATGACAAAGATAAAATAAATCCTTTATTAGAAATGAGTTATTAAAACTATTATGTTTAGAAATGTGTTAAAAAAATCTGCTTTCCGTTGAACAGAAATTGGGGAAAAAATAAACAAGCGGTCTAATAATTCAGGGGGGCTAATAATTCTGACTTTAACTGTATATGAAAATAAACAAATCTAATTAGTTCACAAATTAGGTGTATTAAATGCATAGAAAATGAAAATACAAAGGAAAAAGTTGATGAAAAAGTTACATGAAAAAGGGAGATGTAGAAAGGCAATGAAGGCCCAGACAGCAGCTGAAATCTCTCAGTAGTTCTTCAGCAACCCTATGTCCTTCCTTATTGTAAATTAATATTAGCTGCTTCAGCTCAACATCTACATTAGTAGGATGATGAAGATAAAACCAGGGTGCACATTTCAGCACGACAATGTTTCAAAACACATCCCAGGAAACTAGCAAATGGTTTCAGAAAAGAAAATCAAGCTGTAGAATGGCCTGGCCAATTACCTGACTTGAATCCGATACAAAATAGAAAATAAAGATCTGTTTGCATAGACGAAACCCACTGAAAGAAGATTTTTACACTCTGTTGAAGTCTGAGAAAAAATCTCACTTTAGCAATGCATGTGACTTCATTCTCCATATTCTCCAGTCGTCTTTAAGCTGCCATCACCAAAAAAAGCTAAACTTAGTCAAATAGTCTAATTTTTTCATTTTTTCATGGCTATTAATTTTTTTTTGGTTGTTATCAACATCTGGTGAAAATTTTAATTCAGTAGCACCTTTAGAAATATTTTCTCTGAAAAAAATGCTGTTGTGTTGAATACTTTTTCCCCCACTTTGTATGTGTGTATACACACTAGGCATGGGCCGTATAAGATTCTGACGGTATAATAACCTTGGATAAAAATATCAGTTTCATGGTATCACAGTATTGTGATTACTGTTCTAAAATAAGTTATTTTTAACTGGGTAAAAAAAAAATGAAAATAATATATTTAATTTTTTGAAAGATTTATAATATTTTGGATCAGTAAACATGTCAGGCTAAATAATTCAAACGAATCATTAACTTCTGCTGTCTTCATTAGTTTCAAAACACTGATTTCTTTACAATTTAAAACAGCATCAGCATTTTTTTTTTTTGCAGAAGATACTGTTGTCCTGTATTACAGAAAATTTTGGCGGTTTTAAAACCTTGACTTTTCCGAACCACAGTATACCTTAAAAATGGTTATCGTTCCACACAGTGTAGATTTATGTGGAAAATCATAATGTATAGCAGCAGCGCTTGTTTTTTCAAATTCTGGCCTCTGCGCAGCACTCTGGGATCCAACAGCCACACAGCAGAAATGTGTTGTTAAGCAAAGGCTGTTATTGATTATCGTCTAAACCCGAGTGTGTCGTCACATCAAGGTCATGGTCTGTCAACCATCAGATCAGTTTCTCAGCTCTGTTTGCTTTTTGCTTTTAATGTGTGTGCAGGTCCCTTTATTTCAGGGTGTGGTGTTGTTTATATAATTTTCTTAATTTGTTTGAGAAAGTAGTATGGCTTTGTCTTTAAATAAAGCGTTCAGAGTGCATTTCAATAGGGTGCATATACACTTGAAGGCAATTTTTTTTAGCCCTAATGTGAATGTAAATGCATTTTTGATTATTATTGTTTTTTAAACATAATAGTTTTTATAACTAATTAATTTTTTTTTTTTTTTGCCACAATGACTGTACATAATTTTTTATTTGCAAGATTTTTTTACTCATATTCAGCTCAAAGTCCAAGTTAAATACTTAACTACATTAATTAGTTTAACTAGACAAGTTGGGCTAATTAGGCAAGTCATTGGACAATTCATTGTTTTTTTTTCTTCTTCAATTTCTATTTAATGGAGAGAAGAGTTTTTTTAACACATTTCTAAACATAATAGTTTTAATAACTCATTTCTAATAACTTATTTATTTTATCTTTGCCATGATTAAAAAATATCTTAAAACTCTACTGAAAACTCCACAATAATTTGTTATTATTATGGTGTAGGGTTTCCTTTTGTGGTCAATACAGCATCAGGTTATCGTAGGAATGAAAGATACAGAGTCCTGTACAGTGGTCAAAAGGATTTTGAGCCATTCTTTTTGCACAATAGTGGCAAAGTCACTACGCGTTTCTGGTAAAAAATTTAAATTTTCTTTAATATTTGCCATGATAACAGCACATAATATTTCACTAGATATTTTGAAGTACTCAGCTCAAAGTGCAATTTAAAAGCTTAACTAGGTTAATTAGTTAAGTTAGGTTAGGTGAGGTTAGGGTAATTAGACAAATCATTGTATAACGACATAAACATTGCTTAGGGGGATAATAATATTGGCCTTCAAATTTTTTTTTTCCCGAAATGCAACATTTTCTCAAGAAGAAATGGAGAAATACCAGAAAATACTGTGGAATATTCCTTGCTCTCTCTCTATAATATATATATAAAATAATATTGCTAAATATATAACAATCCATACCAAGCTTTTTTTTTTTTTTCAGATGATGTATAAATATAAATTTTAGAAAATGTACCCATATGACTACTTTTGTGGTCCAGGTTAACATTTATGACAGAACATAATTTTATTTAATTCATGGAAAACAATTGTGAAAAAAAATCTGTTAATTTTTCACACATTTTCTATGAAAAAAAATAGTGGAATGAATGAACTGCCAACTTATCCAGATAATGTTTTACCCAGCAGATGCCCTTCCAGCCACAAGCCAGCACTGAGAAACACCCATACACTCTTGCATTCACATATACACTACAAACAATTTAGCTTATTCAACTCACCTGTACTGCATATCTTTGCACTGTGGGGAAAACCGAAGCACCCGGATTGCGAACATGGGGAGAACATGCAAACTTCACACAACTGTGACCCATCAGAATTGCCAACTGACCCATCAGAGGCTTGAAGCAGCGACCATCTTGCTCTACGGCGACAGTGCTAACCACTGAGCCACCGCACAGCCTCATTATAGGCAATTGGGCAGATGTTTTTTTATAATTTTTAATTTAGTATAAGTTTTGCTGTACAGGACTATGTCTTTTGCATTAAAGTGCCTTGAAACTCATTCTGGTGGCATTTATTTCATATTTGCTTCCGGCTGTCCTTGCCTGCCAAAAGATGGCTTAAACGGAATGGGCCATGTGACATCCTGAGCTCTATACAGATTCCCATGTTTTCTTTAAAAGTATGCTATTACATTGAAATAAAAGTGAGGAACTTTTATTTTTTACTGGCATTTCTGATATTGAGCATCTTCCAGACATTAACTTTGTTTATTTTTTACTTTTTACCTTAAATTTACACTTTATGTATACCTTAAATTTGTTATTTTGTTTATGACTACAGACTTTCTATTTTT